AAAGGTTAAATCTTTGATATTGCAAATAAATTCCACTTATGTATAAATTTCAAAGACGGAAATTTATGTGAAGGTGTCACAAATTTATTCCTCTTCTTTTTTTTGTGAAGAGAAAAGTGATATTATTTCTTAGCATCTATACAAAAACCTCATTTAATAATTCTGACTTCTCTAAAGCCTGATTTCACTTGATGGTTAGCTTATAGATATAGGTATACATATCAGCAATCCACATGTCAAAAACATTCATCAAGCAAAAGGTGAAAGCATCATTATTGTCAACACAATCATCAACTCATTTAGAAGACAATCTACTACTACTTGGATGTCAGTTACTACTTTATAAGTTATTGAAAAAAGAACAGATCTTAACAACAGTACAACAGGCAAATGATCAATGATCAAGTTTACATTATTATTATTATTATTATCAAACACTTATTTAGGGGCACCTTGACATAGTGTAATGGTTGGCAAGCTTGTCTTGCTAAAACAATTATAACTGAATAGCGAGTTCTATCCTCACTGGGTGCCCCATACTTTCAGCCTTATGCCACATCTAACCTATGCTTAGAAAATCAACATAAAACATTTATTCAAACTGTTGTTCTCATTTTGGTTGCTACAGTCACCATCCAACCTTTGTTAGATGTGTCATATTTTGTAATCTATTTAGAATTTTGAACAGATCTCTTTATTCAATCTACAGGGTTAGACTGTTCTCATTTTGGTGCTCTTATAAGATGGGACCTTCATTAGTTAATCTACTTTGTTATTTTTGATTTTGTTCTTGTGATGCCACTTCTACTCTGTCCATTGAACCAGATTATATGAAATCCATTGCCTGACCAGAGATTAAGCTCACAACTGCCAGTAACTATCTTAGTAAATATAGGTGTATAACTATCTTAGTAAATATAGGTGTATACATATCTATATTTACTAAGCTAGTCCTGTATGACAATCAGGTGATATAATTTGTGAGCCTCAAATCAGGTGATATAATTTGTGAGCCTCAAATTCTTGTTGATTCTTCCCTGAATAACAGGCTGCAACATTGGGAAAGAAGATGATTAAAAGAATCAGTGCACACAGTATGTTCTGGTCATCTTAAATAGGCCTATCAATAGAATTATACAGCATATACGGTACCTTTGATAAAAAAAAGAAAGAAGAAGCAACACCTGATTATCATACATAATGGCCATGTCAATATAAGTGTTAGTTAAGCGTTACAGTTTACCTGGTGATCATGCAGTAAAATCCATATATTCTTGTTTAGTAGAATAAGTAGACGCAACATCACAAGGACAAAATAACAGAAAAATTAATGAGAAATCCACTAGCATGGTCATCAGAATAAGAACATTCTACTCCTATGTATTGAATAAAGGGTTCAGTTCAAAGTTTTGAGAAGGTTACAAATGGGAACAAAAATCTTAGTGCAACTATAACAACCAATATGAAAACAACATTTCAAATAAACCCATTCCCCCACCCACCAATTTTCTGAGATGAAGTTTTTTTTTTTTTTTAAACTAGTTAGCTGCTAAATGATACAACAGATATAATAATACCAGCTCAATTAAATTCTTGCAGTCATTGAAACGTGAAAAATTTATCTTGCCATCAATTCTTATCTCACATACGTACCACCAATTCAAGTCAATGCCCTTACCTTGAATATTGTCTCATTACCAACAACACTAGAGCATGGTGTTGAAAACAACATTTTAATGATTCCAAACAAAATATTAAAATATATCAAATAAATATGCAATGTCTAAAATAACTACCAAATCTAAAAGGTGCCAAAGAGAGAGAGAGAGAGAGAGAGAGAGAGACATGTTTATACACACATTTTAATTAAATTTCTTAAAATGAAAGAAATTTCAAGAATTATTGTGAAGGGTGTATTAGTACTGGCAAGAATTGAACTCTAAACCAATAATGCAAGACAAAAGGAAACAAATACAGAAGTATAATAATATAATAACGTTTCATTATTATAATTTCGTTTTTTCTTTAAGATTTTAATTTTCATGATGCAGATTGTTTTAAATACCAAGAAATAACTTTCTAACCATTTTCAATTTCATAATTTGGAAAATTTACATAGATATTTTACTTGAGATTTTGCAAGACATAACAAGCACTTAAAAAAATGAATACTGATTAGAAAATCAAATAAAATATTGTTTCTAATACTATGAAATATTAATTGAAAAAAAAAAAAAAAAAAATTTCTATATACACACAATAAATACATATATACATACAAGAAATGAATACACTTTGAATATCACTTTTTCAAAAAGACAATTTTAAAACAAACTGTATTATTTTGTTATAAAATAAAACACTACTTGTTCAATCATTTATTTAGATATTACAATGTGATATTTATGAGAATTAGAAATTAGTTTCTATTCAAGACTTTCAAATAGCCACTTCTTTAAGTGTTATGAAAGGATCATTTGTATCATTATAATATAATCTAACATAGCATTCATCTATGCTAACAAATTAATAATGAAGACTAAATTGTTGAACACTGATTCACAGGTTCACCCAATAAGAAGGAAATATAATCAAGAATTATATCAAATATTTTCAGAAGATTCATTATTCTTTGGCTTTTGTTTATCCCAGCCAGTCCATTCTACAATCTCAATAGTGGAAACCAGAAAAGAAATAGTCATGAATATAATGATCAGATCAACCCAGTCACAGCAACATATTTAACACAAACATTTTCATATTGATAACAGAGTCAATTCCATATGTGGGGATGCTCTTCATTCTTTTTCTTGCTAAGCAAAGAAATTCACAGACTTGACTTACACATTTATTTGCAAGGCCTATATACAACACTTCCTTCAATTTTCTCACCTTCCAGTGATACTAATTATTATTTGAACTTTTTCCTAGAGAAGATAGTGTGGTCCTTCTTCCTTCAGATGTTTATAGGAAATGCCTCCTTTATAAAATTAATTTCCTTTGACAATTTTTAACTTTATACAAAGAATGAAAGTATCACAATTTGTTTCAATTAAAATTCTTTATGACAAGGATATTCAGTTTTGGCTTTTATTTAATTGCATGTGTGAATGTATAATTTTAAACCACAAAATGATAGAGAGAGATGTAAACAGCCTGAGTTCTAATCATCAGCTACAAAATTTACTGAAAGAAAAAAAAAATGTATAGCTAAGTGTCTAAATGAAAATAATTTGCAGGCAATAAATTGTGTAGCTACAACATGGCTGTGCACATATGAAAAATGACATCTTGTTTCAAAAAAAAAAAAAAAAAAAAAAAAAAAAAAAGTCAAAATTTTGATTTTCATGATATAAAAAGTACACTAAGGCTTACACAAGACAACATAACAAACCATAAGTCAAAATTACTTTCTAAAAGCTTCTAAACACAAACTAAAATTAACAAAATGACAAAAATTTTGATTAGACATAGATTTGTCTGAATTTTTAAAATGAGAGACTCATTATATACCAACTTATTTGGACTAGTATCCTCATCTTGTTTGTTGTAGTCACAATATTTTTGCAGTTGAACCCTCTGGCTTTTTTCATGTATCAATCAGTTGATAACCTTACAATTTTTCACTGAACCTAGAGGATAATGGCCTAGTGAATAAGAGCATTGGTAAGTGTATCTAGTTACTTGGCAGTTCAGTAAAAGAGATAGTTAAGTGATAGCATCAAGAAAAATTAAACAAGATATCCAGATAACAGAATGAGAACTATCTATCCTTATTGATTGAATAAAGGGTGTGATTTGAAATATCAAGATTACCAACAAGGATGGAAACATGAAGTAAGCCAGAGGACACAACAGCTGAAACGTGACTATAACAACAAAGATGTCGTGGACACTGAATAAGCATATAATAATCATTTGAAAAATGCAGGCAAAAATTCTGGTAGGACATCACGAACAACAGAATAAAGAAAGATGCATGTAGTTTTGTCTTTTCTATAGTTGAAACATTTGTTTTTTGGGGTTTTTTTTTTTTTTTGCTATTAGTAAGCCTGGGTCTCTCTTAATACTACTTTAAAGAACTAATATCGACTGATAAAAAGAACGGAATGCTTGCCAAGGAGAGATCAGAAGTAATAAAAATTTTGGCAATTAGAATTTGTTTCTGACAGTCTGTAACAAATTTAACCTCTAAATCTTGTAATTTTAATTTTAAAAAATATTTTACGTTTTCTTTTTCATCTTAAAAAGAAATCAGAAAGGAAAATTGGTCATTGTTAGAAAAATGGTTGCCGCTCCATACAAAGTTATTTCCTCTAAAATGCAGAAAATAAATTCCAAAAACTACAAGTTATAATCTCCTCAATGCTAATGTGATATCCTTTGTTATTCAATCAACATACAGATAAATTCTTTAAAAATAGATACTAATTTGTCAAAAATTTACTTTCCATTGCATTTTCTGGTCCATAAGGCAGTGTATAAGTTAATTTGCACAATTTATTTTAAGTTTAATATATTGAACATAACTGTCTTTTGTAGTTAAAACATAAAGGAATGGATTCTTAGTAAAATTCTTTCATAAATGATTTACCTTGAATCAGGGTTTCTTTTGTTTGTTTTTTTATTGTTTTATTCCCTACATTCCTGTATTGTTTTTTCACATTAATTTAAAATTTAAATGGAAAAACCTAAAAATATTTTCTAATATGAAAATAGTTCAGCAGAGGTGCATGAAGGTTTCCTGCCATTTCTTCAACAATGACCATAAAGGAATGGAATAAAATTGTTCATGAGCAATTTGTCATTTTTTTTTTTTTTTTTGAGGAGATTTTTTTTTTACATTTTTTTAAAATGATAATGGTGATGACAGTGGAAATGATAACATTAATAGGTATACGTAGATAGAAGTATAAATATTGATTTGCATTTATCGAGCAACCAACCAATTTGTTTCATACATTGATAGGTAATGTTACAAAGCAAGTATATCAACACACCTCAACATGTTTCAACTCCACACAAGTATTACATCCCATCTTTCTATTTGGACAGCGCACCTTCATGGAGAGAATTTCTCGCTTTGCAAAATTATCTGGAAACATCTTTCCGACTGTTAGATCTTCATTGTCAATTGGACATTTTTTTTTCCCATCACTGAGAAAAAAATAAAATAAAAAATAAATAGAAAATACAGATGTTCTAACATGTGTGTGTGTGTGTATATATATATATATATATATATATATATATATATATATATATGTGTGTGTGTGTGTGTGTGTGTGTTAAATGCAATTTGTATTCCAAATATTTGAAAATGAATACTTAAACTTATTAAAACATAAAACAAATCAAGGACTGACAACTCTTAAGTAGTTATGTCCGATTTTGAATAAAATAGGTTAAGTTCACAAAACATCAAGTTGTCCTTTGTGTTACACTTGTCTCAAGTGTTTATATCTATATCCTATTGGAAAGAGTCATTTAAGATCATTTTAAAAAGTGCCCATGTCTTCTAGCCAAATAACTGTCCCCAATTAGAACTGCCATATTGGGAACAGTTCTTCAAAAGTTTGGATATAACCATTTGTAGATATCAGTTCTGAAAATAATTTACCATTCCACATATTCTTTAAGACTTATGTTCATCTTGGTTGTTTAAATGTATTTTAGGTTTTCTTTGGTTTTTGACAATTATTTTGCATTTAGTGGTCTATGGAATTTGTTTAAGAACTTTACTTTTACCGCTTGAATAGAACAGAGGACAACTGTTATACTTTTTGTGTTTTAGCCAAGATGAAAAAAAAAAAAAAAAAAGATACAAAGCAACTGCTAAAGACAACTTGATGCAACATATCAGCCAAAGCCTCCAAAAAATCTGCTGAATTATAAAAATAATTGAGAAGACCACTAAACTGTTCTTAAATGACACAAGGTTCAGATTACCCTAAACTATGGCTTTCTTTACTAATGGCCAGGTCATAGTGTAACTTTCACACAGAACTGAAGGCCTATCTCACATCTCATTGTTCCACTGGAAGCAAACATTTTTAGTTTATTTGGGTTTGTGGTAGTTGGTTTAAGAAATTCAAAGAAAAAAAAAAGTAGACATTAACAGTATAATAAATTCTCTCACCTATTAACATGTTCTCTTTGAATTAATTATCCATATTAAAACAATTTTAATGAAACAAACCATATCAGAACTATGAATTCTGGGGGGAAAATAAACATGAATATAACTTTTTATTGTTTAGAAATAAAGTAACTATTGTTATGCTGACTTTTTTTGTCATAAATTTACTTTTTTTATTACAGAAGTATCTTGAAAACAAATTGCTTTAAAATGTGTGGTTTAACAGCAGGGTTAGGATTAACATTTTGCACACCTTGTTTATAATATATGAAAATATCAGATTAAATTTAATGAATTTAATTATGACATTAATTAACAATGTTCTTAATAAATGATTTCCATTCATTTTGTAGTATAAAATATGTTTGCCCCATTTTTTTTGTTTTTATGGTAAACTAAAATTCATCATGCTTTTTGAAAATAACTTTTAGAAAGAAAAATACAAATTACTCATAAAAAATTAAATTTCATCATCAATATATTTGTTATGAATAAAAATATTACAGAAAAATAATAAAATTAACTTTATATAACAAATAAAATCTTTTTTAAATAAATTTCACAATGTAAAAACAGAATAAAAAAAGGTTTTGGAAGTAAAGTGTTAAAATGTAAACATAAATTATTAATATTAACTTTCTTGCAAGAGACTGTAACATTTGTAATATAGACTCAAAAAAAAATCAGATTAATAAATTATTTCTTTAAATAAATTAAAATGTTACATTTTGGTATAAGCATGGTAAAAATAACATCTTACATTTGTTAGAAATACAGATTATGCAAATTTTTATCATTAGTGTATTTGTTCTTATGAATAAAAATTTCATAGAGAAGAATATTAAATTAACTTTAGGTGAAAAATGTTAATTTTCAAGTAACAAAATCAAATTTCAGAAATTATAATTTTTTTTTTTGTGAATTTCATAACAAAAATAATTTTTTTTTTTTTTTTTTTACAATGAAAACAAAATCTAATTAGTCAAAAAGGAAATAAAATAAATGAACCTTATACTTACTTCAAATAAATAAGCTAAAGTTATTCAAAATGTAAAAAGCAACAAATTTTTAGGCTAACTATAGCAGTGGACAAACCCCAACTAAAAATATTCACTCCCAGTGGAACTACGAGATTTGACATAGGTCTCCAGTTCAGGCCAAGAATTACACTATGATTTGGCAATGAATGCAATGATTACCATATATATATATATATATATATATATATATATATATATATATATATATATACACACAACATATTTATTTTTATCTAACATGGATGTGAATCTAATCAATAAAACATTTTCCTGCACTGAAAACAAAAATTAAACTTTTATCAATATTAGCAGTTAAAAAAACAACATTTTAAGGTTTTCCCTATATATTTATAAATCATATTTTACTCTTTCAGTTCTTTCCAATGTGAATTGTATTCCCCTCACTAATGTTGCATATTTAACTGACATTGAGAAAAATCAATTTCAGTGCACCCACCAGGCTGAAGGGAGAAATCAATAACCATTTATGCTTTTATATATACATAAGCACACACACACACACACACACAAACACACACAGAAGGTACAATGGATGAATTGACACCATTTTAATTTCACATATGCACTTTGTTTTTGTCAGTATAGTATGGTCATTTGGGCACCATCTGTAAGTAAAAGAGCACCATCACGCAATTCACTCTGCCAAAAATTTGGAAATGGCATGCTCTACTGCTTGGCATCCATGCTGGAAGCTCCAGCTTGTGTGTTTCAGTGTCAAGCTGAGAACAATGCAAAGGATTTGGAAAGGGTCGGATGACTAATGGTGATTATGAAAGTAAAGCAGCTTGGAAAACTCACTGATCTTTCTAAGAACTCCTGAATTTGTTGGTAAGAGCCTCACTCAACACAGAAAACTACATCAAATACCTTGAAGAGGTAGTTCTGCCCCAAGTCAAGAGGATGGCTGCTGGAAGACCCTATGTCTGGCAACAGGACACTGCACCATGCCACACAAGCAGGAGACCCTAGTCATAGCTGTCAGACAATTTCTGCAATCACATTACTCTTTACATCTGGCCCACCTAACTCACCAGACTGCAACCCCCTTGATTATTATGTGTGGAGCACAGTTGAATGAGAGACCAACAAAACTTCTTGTAACAACAATAATGAACTGAAGGCAAAATGGCATCATTCATCAACTTAAACAAGGAAATCATCCAGTAGAATTGCAGAAGATTGTAAAGTAGTCTGAAGGCTGTGGTTGAAACCAAATGTGATTTTATTGAATAAATTTATTTTTCATTATTTCAAGGTATTTTTGTCTAATTTTGGTAAATATATCTGTTAAAATAAGATGTCATTGTTATTTTCATTTTTGCGTAATTTAGACAACAATTTATCCATCACACCCTGTGTGTGTGTGTGTAAATTTATCAACACAGAAACTTACAAAAATGATAATTTAAACTCCAATAAATATAATATTCTGTGGTTGAATAAAAGTATTTACACAATTTAATTGCAAATGAGATACCAAATTTGAGTCTTGGTTAAATGCTGAAATTATAAACAAATTTTATCCTTTACTATATATGTATGTGTTATTTCAAGACTGAAGCCATATCTGTATTATTCAAACTATAATACAAGCAGTATACTGTTCAAAGTTGGTTTATGAAATAATACATTTGGGATTTAGAAGAGTTTTAAAAACTTCATTAAATATAAACTATTGAATTTGACAAATTCATTCTGGGAGAATAAATATTTAGAACAAAATGTTAATCTAAATTTAAGATTTTTTTTTTTTTTTTTTTTTAAAGAACCTTTTTTATAAACATACATCTCAAAGAAAAGTGAATGATTCCACTAACATGTTAAGGAATCACTAACTCATGAGGAATCTCATGGAAAATGTTATCTTAAGTTTTTTTGTTTTAACTATTTGGCAAATAATGTCATTGAAAAAGTACTGTAATAATGATATTTTTTTTTAAATATTTTTTTTTTGTAAAAATAATCACAACAATCTGAACTTCTCAGAAATTAAATAGCACTCCTAGAAAACCAGTATTAGTCCCAACAATGAGCAGATGACAAAATGAACATAAGGTGTAAATTTAAAAAATGGCGATGATAACGCTATTTAGTAAAGAAGCAAAAATATCTTTTTTGGACAAGTTAAAAAAATAAATAAATAAATGAAATAAAATATTCCTATTTTACAATTCCCAATTTTGTAAACTTTTTGTCTTGCAATTAAATGATAACATCATCGGCTTCCATCTGAAATGGTAAAAATATGAACACATTGTCAGTGAACAAATTTTAACATATGATTTTAGCAATATGTCCTCAATATAGTTACAAGTACCAAACTTACTAAATGTGATCTATTCATCACTTCTGCTTGCTGATTCTTTAAATTGAATAAACAAAGAATTTTATTACAAAAACAAGAGAGCAAAAAATGTCTTACCTGAGCCAACGTTCAATGCAAAATTTACAAAATCGATGACCACACTCTGTCTGCATAGGATCTCTTAAAATGAGAAGGCAGATTGGACATTCATACTTGTTTTCAAGTGTTGGTTCGAAATCTAGATCAAACCCTTCCTTATTCATTTTTAAGTTACAAGAGAAATTCAAACAATCCTACTTGAAGAAATGAGTAAGGAGTGTTTGTGACCCAAAACCAAGATGTCACTGATGGCATCAACAGAGAGATGGAACACATCTAACTTGTTAACTGGAAGAAAAAAAAATGCAAAGCAGAAAAAAATTAGTACTGGAGATTTATATCAAAATAACAAGAGAAATTAAAAACATATCTAGTATAGGTATTAACCAAACTTACCTTTGTCTGGCACAAGATCAGAAATGTGAAACACAAAATATTGGGTTGGCAGAAAGTTTATTTTTGTTATTAAATGTTATTAGAAACAATTTTTAATTTCAAAAAGATTATTTTTGCCTATATCATGATACTTGCTATATCAGTAATCATTTTTTTTTAAATTGTCAAAATTTTGTTTATGGATTCTAAGATGTAAGTCAGTAGGCAACATTTTTTTTATATATTATGCTTTAAAAGAAAAAATATATCTGCTGTAAATGCAGTTCATGAAATTTTGTGTTAGAGATTTCTTATGAAATGATAGTCCATGATTAGACTAGTTGAGGCCAATTGTTTTCAAATCAAAACATTACTTGGGAATTACCATCAAATGATTCAGGAGAGCAAACTCAATAATAATATCTATATCATGCATTGAAAATCATTTGCACCAGATATGTGACTTCAATGTGAGTTACACAAGGAAAACTTCCTGATCACATTTTTAAACCAATTGTGACCAGCGATGAAAGGTGAATACTATATAATAATGTTGAATGTAAGAGGTCATGGAGCAAGCTGGAATAAGCAAAATGAACCACTGTTATAACCTAGAAAAGGTTACTGAATGAGGAATAGACAAAAAAAGAGGTTGGAAAAGAAATGGTAATCTTTGACATCAACAAAATACAATACTCACCAGTGGCATGAAGTAGTGGTGATAGCATATTACCCCCACTTACAATAGTGTCAAACGTAATTTTGAGGATTGGGACATACCCATTAGTTTTCATAGGTACGGTATATAACGACCACCACTAAAAACTATCAAAATCCTGTTTTTATCTAAATAAGGTGATGCTATGGAGAAAAAAAAAATTAAATTTCCTGGAAGACTGCAAAAGTAATTTAGAACAGTTCCTTGATCAGAATGATAAGTTTCAAGAGCTTGAAATCAAGAGTTTGCCTGAAAGATGGCAGCAGAAAGTGAAACAAAATGGTAAATATATTGTTTAAGAAAACAAATGTTAAAAATTAAGAATCTGTCTTAATAAATCAAACTCTTTGGCTAACTCAACAGTAATGTCTGTCTGAATTTCAGGGTGGGAAGTATTATCATTATTTACAATAGTAATGGTCTGCTAGACTAGCTCACTAAACATTACTTCATAGCAAAGCATTAATATTGTATTCATTATAAGCATGTCTGTGTTCTGGACATGCAAAAAATGTGAACTTCAAACCGCATTGTAAGACAGTTAATGCAGCCAGATAATTTGATAACATTCTAATTGTAAGAATATGAAAGATTAGGAGAAAAATATTAAGATTATTATTTTGAAAAAAAAAAAAAAAAAAAAAAAAAAATCAATAAATAAAAGAACATCAGAATGCCAGCCAGCTGTATGAAAATGCCACCCACCATAGTGTCAATGACTGATGGTTAGGAGTGTTTTACCACATCTACTGCATAGTCCTGACTTGGATCCTTTACATTATCACATGTCTGGACCCCTCGAAAGATATTTATCCAGGAAGTGGTTCCACAAAGATGTTGCTGTTTTAGAAGTGCAACAGTGACTGCAACCATATTCTTAGTGAACGTTATTTATAAACTCATACACTAATTGGATAAATGCATCAATTTCAATGGCAATTTTAGGGTACTAGTAAAATATGTGCAAAACTTCCAATACCCTATACAAGACCAATGTTGTATATGAGTTTTACTTGCCCATATGGAGAATGTTTCCCTGTAAATAAAAAACACACAAAATGTCTTACATAGGTTACACCACAACCTCTAAGAAGCAGCATAAGAATCACAATAACATTAGACTGCTACTCACAAACAATACCAATATGTACCTTACTCTTTTTGAGTAGTTACACGTCTACTTATCTCTCAGTTGTGTGTGTCTTTGGGCAGAGGGTGCTCAGGGGCTTCTCTGTCAAAGGACAGAGGGGCAACTGAGGAAAATAATACTGAAGAGGTGCCCAGCCCTGGGGAACAGCTGCCCATTGCACCAGAAGGAGGGATTGGTGCTCACACCAAGGTCAGCGCAACCAATTGTTGTGGAGGCTAAGGGGAATTTTTGTTCCTGTCCCAGGTGTATACGCTCGGATCGCCACCTAAAAATAGACCTTGTGTCATATTTCATCTTAGTGGGGGGACAGAGTAAATACTTACTCACAAGCAATACCAAAATCAAACAGTGAAAACAGACTTATGATCCTCAAAGTAATACACTTATAAGAAAAACAACCATCTATAAATAAAAACAATTATAATTTAAGTGTCCACATCCTCAAATATATATATAAAAAAATATATAAATAAACACACACACGCCACAACACTCTTTGCCCAACTCCACCAACCAGTTCTCCATAATTCCCCATTTGTCTCTACCTACTCTGATGACGACTTTAGTTGAAAGTTTGAACTATATTTCTTTCAAAATAAACTTTGGACAGTTTAACACAATTTTCTCCTTATCTCAGAAGGATTATTTGTAATTTGGAAAAGTCAATCAATAAAATTAATCAAAATGTTTGTTGTCTTTAATGACATTTGCCTTAAAGAATATTCACTGTCTAAATATAGGCAATGTTTGATTTGTATAGTGATAAACATTTTGGATGGATGGATGTTGGATTTAACGGCATGTCAACTCCTATTTGATAAACATTTTGGATTAGTAAATGTTTGTACTGAACTGTTATATACTATCAGTCTTCCAATGTGGCAGTGAATGCTGGACAATCTCATCACAGATGAAGAAGAGACTTGAAGTAACAGAAATGTAGTTCTACAGAAGGATGCTGAAAATACTATAGACTGAATATGTGAGCAATGATAAAGCTTAGAGAAAATGTAAACAAAAAGGACATTTATACTTAACATCAGAAAGAGATACTTCAAATCTACAGCATATAAGGAGGAAAGTGGTCTTAGAAAATTTGATACTTACAGGACATACTGAAGACGAGAGAGATCGAGAAAAGCATGTAACATACCTAGCAAGCTTGTGTAAATGGATGGCAGAGCAGGGTTTAGGAGAGAGAACAAAAAGACAAAATTTGCTACAAAGGACAAGAAATAGTGGAGATCTTTAATGTCCTGAAGGCACAGAGGAGAAATGTTTGTATTTAACTTTCTAGAAATACCTCATCTTAACACTTATATTAGTATACTATGTCTGACATTCAGACATTGGCACATGCTGAAGTAAGATTTGGTGTGGTGATAACGTCCAGTGAAAGCTGATGTCATACCATGAAGATGTACATGTGCATCTTTTGTTCAATTTTTTTTTTTTAACAATGATGTTCACCTTGTACAAGACCCAAGAGTCACTCAAGATAGAGTGTTGCAGTGTAAGAGGTACAGTTTATGGGGATATGTGGGAAGTTAACAGTTGACCCTAAACTTGAACAGAATGAGATTGGACTGATCGGGGAAGTATCCTCTTCACAAAGCAGTGGTCTGTGGGAACTTACATCTAGAGCGGAACTTACATCCCACCAACGGAATACAAAGGGAATGTGAGTAGTTTGCTACAATGTGCATAACATGGTGGGTTTTAGCCGTGAAGGTTAGAACTGGTGTAACTAAGTAATGTAGTTCATCTGAACAGTTGCCATGGAAATAGTGATAAGATTGCAACGACTCATCTGTGGGAAAGGAGATGTAGAGTGGAAAATCATTCATCACTTACAAAGACACAGAAGTGCTTTTGTTCTCTATCAATGGAAAATGGGCAGCTCCTGTCTATATATGGCATTTTTGTCCTGATGTGGCTCTTGTTAAAGGAGAGGATAGCAAGAGGAGTCCAGTACTTACTGGAGCGATACAGGAAATTGACCATTTTTCCAGCATCCTTAACAATGGATCATATGTACTAGTTCCACTAGAGGTCTGTGTTGAGTTTAAGTCACAGTAGGCACACAAGGCCTTCCTGAGAGAACATCCATTCATTGTGATAGGTGAAAATTCATGGTCCACTCTGCCAGAAGATGAATTGTCATTTCAGGGATTTGTAGCACATATTGGATGTGATATATAAGTGGTGTTTCATTGCTACAACCATAGACCAGGTCCTGGATGATCACAATACAGATGATTGACAAGATTGATATATTATAAAGACAGCAGGAACAGACCATACAGGATAGATCAGATAAAATGTAGCCTAAGACAGACTGCTGAGAATCTAACTACAGGCACATGTACTTATAACCAGACTTCCACTATCACCATCATGCACATGCCAAGTGTTGTTACCAGAGTGTCACCTGGAAGATCAAACAACATTCTGTAGTGTTTAGCCATGAGAGAAAGTTCTTCCTTCATGCACTTGATAATCAATTGTCTGTAGACCTAAGGAGCAACATCTTCCAGGGTGAATTTAACACCCAAACCCAGTCCATATCATCATAGTGTCAACTGTCATGAATTACACTCACTTTTGATGTTTACAGAGAGAATGTTAAACCATGACCAGAACATTGTTCAACTGTCAGTGGTATACAAGTGCTTTCTAAGATCAATGATTAAAAATGACTTTGAGCAAATGAAGTGTGTATGTCAAAGCAAGGCCCAACCTTCTTCAAACCTTGTAAACTGACACTACAGAATCACAAAGAACTGTACCATATAAGAGAAACCACATCATTTGATGACTTTCAACAGCTG